AAGAACTATTTTATACAAATGAGGCAACCTTCACCAAGGTTTTACCACTTCAAGTGATAGGTTCACCTTCACCAAGGTTTTACTCCTTCTAGAGAATAACCTTCACTTGAGCAACCTCACAACCCAACTTCCCCAACCCCTTATACAACCAACAAAGAATCTTTCAACTCAAAAATCTCACTTGTAAGCTTGTATTTTGTGTTGGCAAAAGTCTTTTGTCTTCTTGTGCTTTGGGGTGTTTATAGAAGGTGAGAAATGGCTCCAAAAGGCTCTCCAACGGTCAAATATTAAATGCTGTCAAAACTAGCCGTTGGCCTGTCGGACGTCCGAACCACCTGTCGAACGTCCGAACCCTGCGTCCAAACCACCTGTCGGACGTCCGAACCATGCGTCCGAACGTCGTCAGAGAGTTATCAAATCTTTGCGAAATTTCTCGGACGTCCGATGCTTCCTCACGAGCGTCCGACAGAGTTTCCTTCTTGATGTTCTTCATCCTTTCGGACGTCCGATAGCTTCCTTTCGGACGTCCCACATGAGTGCCCTGTTTTTGCTTCTTCTTTTGTGCCACAAGAATCTGTTCTAACAAATTGCTCACATAAAAATATTAGCCCAAATCTACATTTTAGTTTGTTAATCATCAAAACCAAGGATTGATCGACCAAGGTCAACATACCCCAATCTGGCCCCTTTCCTACCCTCTTCCCTATCACCATCTAGTTGAAGCCAAATCAAGGGAGGGAGAAAAGGGAGGGACGGGGGTGGCATGGAAGAGAAATGGAAGGGGAATAGAAGATGATGAATGAGAGAGAGGAGAAAAGAAGAAGGAGGGGGTTGTAGCAGTGATGGGTGGGACTGGCGGTGAATGGTGATAATAGGTGAAAGATGTTATAGAATTTATTTTCTTTAATTTTTTTTGTATATTTGTGAGTTGTTTTTTTATATATTGTATGAATGAGGTGTTTTGGAGTTGTTTTATTCATATATAACTATAATATTGTATTTAAAAAATTAGTTTTTGAAAAACAAGTGAATCCAAACGGACTTCTAATACCTTGCCATCTCTCTTTTCCCTTGATTGTTCCATTCGCACCCTTCCATCCCTTCCCTTGTTTTCCCACCTCTTCTCCTGCCCTTTATTTTTACTTCACCCATTGCTCTTATCCTTCACAATCGGGTTGCATGGCCAAGTCAATGATGATCTATTCTCATAGCAAACTAGGATAAAAGAGGATAAGAGGAGATAGAAAAGAAGGAGGAAAGAAGTGGTGATGGAAAAAATAAGAAGAAGAGAGAGAATAGGCAATGGAAAAGGAAATTTCATGGGAAAAGAGAAGGGGAGGGGGAGCAGAAGATAGGGTATGGAGTACAGAAAGGGAGATTGAGGTCGATTGAGAAAATAGCTAATTTACTTGCATTATAATGGACTTTCTAATACATATTTTTACCTTCTCAATTATTTTTTTGTTTCACATATATCATATTGTAAAAAATATTACACTAATGATTTCAAATAGTTTCTTGTCCAAAACACACATAATGTAAGCGTTTTAAATATTTTGGGATTTTTGTCCCATGTGTGTATTTTTGGATAAATTTTTAGGGCAATGACTATCTTGTACGAATGATAACAGTAAATTTTTTTTTTTTTAATTTGGGGTCAATAAAATTATAACTATAATATTAGATTTGCCATAAAGTAGGGCAAACCAGACAGAGAGGGCAGAGATGAGAAACGGCGAGGGGTATTTTAGTAAATTCGGAAGGACAAAAAACAAATAACTTTGGAGATTCAATTCAACGAAAAGGGCCTAAGAATTCATTCAAGTGACAACGGCAGTCAAAGTAGGAAAATCATTGGAAGAAGTACTAGTTGGTTAATGGTTACGCAACCCAAAAAAAAAAAAAAAAAAAAGGGAATGGACGGCTTTGACTCTCACCCTGGTCCGTCCGATTGTCCACCGCGCGCTTCCACTATCACAATCCACGCTTGGGCTTGGCTCGCTTTTCCCTTGAGCAGGGGCCCCACTCGGGTCCCCCAACTTACCAGCTACCACAACTCCTGGGCTTTCAAGGAGCCTCCACTCCATGTTAACGAGCCTCGCCGCTTTCTTTAGCTCAATCACGACACTACGGACCTCTCTTTCGGGCCCCCCAACTGCCATGTATTTACAATAATAATAAAGTCTATGTAAATAGTTAACTTGATATTAAATTTGTGTGTTTTCAAATTTATGCTTACTAGTATTTTGACCCGTGCTATGCACGGGGTTATATTTCAAATCAAAATAATATTGTATATATTTATATATTGTGGTACAAAATAATAAATATATATATAGACTAAAAATTTTAAGGAAGTGTATGCTTAATATTTTGGAAAAAAATTTAATCTATAATGATTTACATGATAAAAGAATTATTAACGCATTTAATGAGAGAGCTAGGTTGGGTGGTAAGGTGAGAAGAGTTTTCTAAAAAGTCAATTTATCAATATCCGACAAAACATATTATGTTATACCCATATATCAAAACTTATAATATAAAAAAAATAAATTATAACCAATTTATTTTCTTCCATTTTTAGAAAAAAATCTTCCTCCTATCTTGTGCCCTAAAATTGTTGACTACATTTAGATTAGCATTTCATAAACTTTAACATATATTTTTAAAAAAAATCTTAGTAATATACTTTAGAGTTGTCAAAATTATTAAAAATCACCATCATTTTCCTCTTCTCTTATACGCCAGTTAGTCATCAGATACCTCCTACGACTTTTATATATTCTATCATGGTACCACTCTCTCTATTATTTTTTTTATTGTCATATTTGTCATATCCCTGCAATCTCCTTTTTTCTTCTCTCCATTCTCCGCCCATCCTTGTAACCCATATTTCTTCTTCAACATTTCCTGTTACTTTTTAACTCCTAACCATTTTCTTCCCTCCCTCCTCCCCCTATACCTAACCTCTAAATTCATATCCCTGCGACCCAATATTTAACTTTACCTATCATAATAAAAATATAAAATTGAAAATTAATTACAATGGTTGCAATTATTAGTATCTAAAAATGGAAATGAAAAATTGATAATATATATAATATCCTCAAGTACTACAATCAATATACATATACACATATTTAACATAGCAAATACATATTTACATATGAAGACAACAATAACAAATACATAAAATAATTAATGATACCAAAAGTTATCCTTAGTATTTGGGTTTTGCACTCTTATTCAAATCTAATGTCAAATTTGGGCAAGATATATACAAATTAAGTAGTATTTTAGGGTTGAATGTTCTATATCTTTCTCTTAAACTATAATGTTACATTTTTTAAAAATATTTTAGGTAGAATTGGTGTTGTTATTATCATATTTTTTTTTATCAAAAACGAATATTTCAAAAAAAAAAAATTTCACGTTAAAAGGCTAGTAGTACTTTGTTTTTTATTTAGTGATTTCATAATTTGGATTTCATGAATGGTATCATTCTTGATTTTTTAAATCCACGACATTATTTCCTTTTTGTTTTCTATTTAATTTTGCCCTTTACTTAGGATTACCAAGTTAAAAGATAAAATATTATCATTTACTTTTTTACTTTTACTAAGTTTGGCAATGTTTTCTTTTTATTTACCCTCCCACTAATAAACTTCAAACCAAATTCCTATATAACCGGAGTCACTACTTTTTTAAATTAGAAAGGCATGGAAGCCACTCCTTACTTAAGAAAATGTTATTTGCACTCCATTTTTTATTATTTGCAATTCCACCATTTTTTTATCATATAGTCTAATTAATGAAAATTATATGATCAAAATGATTATTGAAGTGTGAATAACAAAAATGGAGTGTAAATAATCTTACTTATTTAAATTAATAAGAAAGCATGAAAGGATGTTATATTTGTTATCTCTTGTTATGGTCTTATAGAAGTTTGAATTGGAGTAGAATCATAAATAATGCAAGACAATTGGAAACGTGATGGGTTGAAATTCAAATTGGATAACATGCATGTTAACCAACAATTTGAAATGAAATGATTTTAAAAAGTAACCAATAATTTCAAATGTGAATAGTAGATGTGGAAGTTGAGAGGAATATATTTTATAAATTAAATTAAATGTGAAATGATAGGAAAATGGAATTGGTAGCGGGAAGATACGTGGAGGCTTGTTCCTAAAAATCCCTTCTCAAATTTATATAGATATAGACTAGTGTGAATACCAGTGCTACGCACAGTGCTTACGTTATTGAAAGAAATTAAAAGATTATACCAATATAATTTGAAAAAAGTTAAAAAAATTATATCAACATAATTAAAATTTAAGATTTGTCTAACAATAGTTCAAAGTATGACAAAATCTATAGATCATTCAAGAATTGCGTTTTTGCAGAAGATGGATATTAAAATAATAATAAAAATTTATATTAAAAAATGAATGATATATGGATAGAAATAAATGTAATTGCATGTTTTATTTGATTTCAAAATGAAATACTTACAAACATTATGCATTGGATTTGATAATCTTGTACAAAGGTGCGAACATTTTTTACACCAATCAACTTTTAGTATGAAAATTAATATTGGTGGCTTAATTAATTCTATTGAATCATGCAGAGTGCGTATTATAAAAAAATGTTCAGCGAGACTTGTATTTCTTGGAAGTGAACTTGCTGAACCTTTTTAAAATATTTCATTAGGATCATAGATATATAGATATAGATATATAGATTCTTTTCCAATCAATTAACTTTTTATCCCAAATAACACATATTGGTATTAACTCATCTAAATTATTTAATGCATATTGGTGTAAATTTTCTCCATTAGTTGCATACGCATCAAGTGTGCCTCGACAGCTAGTATATATAAAACCCTACTTGAATCAATTCGTTATTAAACCATATAATAATTTTAAATACTCATATACTGTGTAGATTAATATCATAATCGAGGAATACATATTGGGAAAAATGTCATAGAATCTTTTTTTATATTATAATCTGTAACATAATACTCTCTCACTTTCCCTCCTCGTATGCGCATATTTCTTTAAATTTCATCTTCTTACCGACACCCCAACGACAAGAAAGCACTAAATTAAATAATCTCAACTCCTAAAGCAATGGAACCAAAACAGAGGAACCTCCTCAAATAATCCTTCAAGCGGTAGAAAAAGTAAAATTTCCTTTTACACAGCACGGCAGCTATTACAGAAGCATAAAACGAATCACTCTACCCAAACGGAGCCAAAACATGCTGTTAAACTTGTCACACTCCTTTTATCTTGTCAAAATAATTTATAAGTATCCTGGTGCTTAATTAACGGAAAATCAACCCATCTGAATTCTCAACCGCAAATGAACGCACGTTCAGCTGGAAAGACTTTATTCTAATGCCTAGGCTTTGAAGGATCCCGAACGCACCACCAACAGAGAGAGAGGATGCACAACGGAGGGAGGGACTAATAAACACCGTAACCAGCAGCAACAACACTAGTATGATGCTCAGTTTTCTGCCAAAACCCGCATCATTCTCGAATACTGAAGAAGCAACGTATCTGATAGGCCCTGTCCACCCCGAAACATTAACTGCTAGTTGTAGTACTATCCCATTTTGATCTTTCTGGGATATCGATTGCCGCAAGAGGTAAAGATTTTGAAGCCATGCGGAAGAGCTACCACCACCACAACAATCCCATCCCTACATTTTTTAGTTGTATTTAATGAATCAGAGGGAGCATTCTATAACTTTTTTTTTCTTTGGTTTTTTTTAATCCAACAGAAGAACGATAATTTGTCCGGTTCTTTTTTTTTTTTTCTGAGTGACCGCGATAATTAACTAATCAAGTCAAGGCTGGCCAATTGAACTGAAGCTAAAAAAAAAGTAGTAGCAAATACCTTGATGATAGTCATCGCCTTCCATCTTGGTGGAGGAGGGATGTTGAGAGTTGTCTTAGCAGCAGCAGCAGGAATGGTTCTTCCGCGAAATTTGTCGCTAAACTTTGGCGCAAATTTAGATTTGAAGAATTTGAGGGGGTTGGGCCAGACTGAAGGTTTGTGTTTAGATTTGACATGGATGACGACTGAGGAAAGCTTCAGGCGCAGTGAAAATCGGAACAACTTGCGAGCAGCAGCAGTCGCCGGTGGCGGCAAGGCCTTGGTTGCCTTGAGCCCGAAAGCCAAGCCATCGGCCTTCTTGGCTTCTATTTCCACTTTCCATGCTTGCTGCTTCTGCTTCATCTTCTTCATCCTAGTCTGCCCCACTCTGATAACGGCTCCTAATAATAATAACAACAATAATCTTGCGTCGGTCTCGTTTAAGTTCTTGTACCTCTGCAAATGAAACTCAACCATACCAAGTATTTGTTTATAGGCCCGACTTAACGTGGCCCAATTCGCACTTCTTGCTGGCCTCCTAATTCTTTGTTGCCCGTTAGTCTTAGCTGGTCCAAAGAAAAACAATTAGTAACCAAGGAAATTTTGAGGAGTCGCTACCATGGTTAAAGCCCCCTCACTGTCCCTCCTACGACGTTTTTCTATCTAGAGCGAAGGCCTTTGTTGTTTTAATAGGTTTAGACATCTGGGCTCAACAAAAGGATCAAGTTTCTGCTGAAATGAAAGCAGTTTCGACGAATTGACTAGTAATGATATACAATTTGGTGGTACGTGCACGTTTGCCTCTGGTACACAAACATTTGAATGACACACACGCTCTGGTTTTCCACACCGGATCCTCAGTGCCACTTTTTCAGTGACAATTCAATGACACTTCTATATTTATGCCAAGTATCCTGTTTATTTAATTTATCATGTGCTATTTATTTAAATTTCTTCTACCATGACGTGATAAGTGGAATTGGTATTGAATTTGACACCGAATAGTGACATAGAGGATCTCAACTGCTGGTTTTCTGCGTTACAAGCATTTGAACAACCTTCTGCTTCCTCTACCTCGTAAAACCTTCCAAACTGTTCAAACAGAAACAACATACTTTTTCCAGGTTGTATCACTAACGAGTAGTAGTACAGAATTAACAAAACCGTCCAGATATGGGAGACCTCCTGTCTGGAGAGGCCGTGAACTCCCACGTCCCCACGAGTTTACCTTTTGAGGGTGACCAAGTAAGGTAGACTAACTGGACAAATTACAATTAATACTAGCTACAGAGCTCGCATGGGGATGACTCACAAGATAGGAAGCTGGTGCAAAATTGCGAAATCAACTTACACAACACAGGACAACCCCAGGAGGAAAAATCTCTCTGTTGCATCATGTCACGAAGCAAGTTCCCTTGCAAGATGACCGCGAACCGTGTACACAATGCAAAACCATCTAATGAAAATTGCTGCGTAAAGTTGACCTCTGAAGAAGGGTGGCTCAATAATTCAGCAAAGAATATTTTAGCCTCAACACAACTCTCCCTTTCTCTACCCCAAGCTTTCCTCCTGTAACCAGCCAATGACCTGGAGGATCTTCTGGTCCCTTGCACATCTCTGTTGTGTCCACAAATTTTGCCAACTTGTTGCCTGCTAACTTCTCCCCTGAACCTGAAGTCAAATCACTGCTGTTACTTCCTGTCGCAACCTGCTTCCTCAATTTTTCATTTGGGGCATGATCCCATAATGATCTTCGTACGGTGCATCCCGGAAGCCGTGAATATAAAAGCTTCATATGCAACACATTCCGTGAACCAAAATCCCACACCCCAAGCTGTGCTCCAGTGACTACATACACGCCTGAGAAATCACCTATGAACGTTTCAGGGCTCTCTACTGGTGCAGTGCTCACATGCGAAAAGTTCTTCCACTTCACAGGCTCAAACCATCTACTATCTTGTTCTTCAGGACCCTGCCACTTTGGAGCGCCAATTGCCACGTGTGACTCCCAGTATGGCTGGAGGATCTTAGGAAGAGATGCCAGATGTTGAAGGTTAATACACAGACGATTCTGCTTGGATCCTTCCAGATGAAGCCGCATGCCTGTCACAGGCTTGCGTCCCACTGATACCTGCATTACGTTTATCTAAGATACATCACTGGGGATCTAAGGGTACATCAAAAAGGCACTAGCAGTAGTCAACAAACCATAACTATTATATTGCAGATTGCAATTTGTAGTGTTTAATAGATGTTCTGTTCCATTTTTAAGTTCCTTCTCTAGATGTAAGGGGGAGGAAAAGTTAAGTCACCTGGAAAAGATTACAGAGTCTTATTGAATATTGTGAAAACCACTATGATAAGTTGACCAGTTGTGGCATAAGCATAAGCAGTAATATCTGTCCTGGCTGCTTTTCAAACAGATTTTGAAACTTTCAAAACATCTTATTTAAATTGATATAGAGAGGTAAAACTTTGCAAATTAGTCGGCATCAGAACTAGAAGCTAGCTGAACTTTTTCTCACACCAAGTCACTCCATAATAGTTTTAAGTTTTACATCGGACATGCTCACGTACTTGCTCCGGGCTGACATAAAGCTTTTGCCCCATCATGCTAAACTGCAGAGATGGGCAAACAGGTTCCTTTCTTGATTGACCTGGAAGCCTGTCCTGCAGAGGGGCCCATGTTCGAGGGACCTGAAACTCTAGAAAATATCTCAGCTCTTCAATCTGAGGTTTGTCTGCATACAATAGCCAAAACTGTAATCATTAGCTATAACAAGAAATCACTTGCTAGCAACAGTTTCTGACAGCTGTTCCAGCACATGAGGAGCAAAAACTTTAAAAGGTAAAATGCCTTACGGTCCAGGTAGAGATCTATAGCTCGTGTTAAATGCTCCTTTCCTCTAACCCCATCAAGAAGGAGTGAAATTGGATAAAACTGCATCTCAATAACATCTGGAGAGGATTGAACTGTTCTTGCCCATTGAGTATGACTTTGTTCAAGATCATCCCCTCCCCTTCGTCTGAAGATGACTGTAACATCCTGCATCAAATATATTTGAAAATTTTGATGTTAACCATTGTTAATCATTTTAGAGGCCACACAATATGTAATTTGCAATCAAAATAAGGAAATAATGCAGATTCAACAAAAGAAAATTCTCTCTCTCTGCCTCCCTCCCTCCCTCCCCCCACACAATGAATTCTTATTTTGCCATCTTTCAGAAGCAAATTTGTCCATGCATCATTAATTACACTTAGACGAACTAAAGTTGATTTAGTCATATAATAGCTACAGACCTCAATATGCATAATTATCACCTCTTTTCATCAAATATACTCACCGCCTTGAAGGTCTACCAGTTCATCCCCAACAACATCATTGACCATACAGATACAGATAGCATGAAGGTGTTAAACTTCCTAAGACTGCTCATGATTATGCTGAATTAGCAAGCATGTGACAATCTAGATGCAATATGAGAAGATTGGATTGTCAAGGCTTTCCTTGCTACAAATTACTATTAGCAATTAAAAAGTGATTGTAGAAGACTTGGACTTTGATAATGTAGCTAATGTCTTCATTTCAGGCAATTGGCAGATGCAACATAGTGGAAGTGTCAAAATACATAATTCCAGAGAGAAGGGAAGCAGCAATTGCTTCACTATTGCAACCACTGTTTCATGAGATATGCTGCATACCTCTTTTCCATTGCCTGCAAGAATAGGTGTAATACTTGGTTGTGGATATATCCCTTGGCTGTTGAATAAAGAAGGATCATGTCCCTGCAGAATTGAGCGGGAAGGTAATAAGATGGAATATACTTTTCAATCTTTTAAGAAATCAGAAACCAGGCTTCGAAAACAAAAACATAAAGCCTAAAAATAAGATCGAAAAATTGGAAAAGTTGAAAAATTACTACAAAGAAAGATATATACTGGAACTAGCCTTATCCTTGTATTTCAATAAACCTGAACTCGTTAGACTTTCTGCACTCGAGAACCTTTGATTTCCAATGTCTTGGACGTAACTTTTTATTTCCATGGTCGACAAAGATGACGAGTCATGTTGTTTCACATATATAACATCTTTCCCTCCAATAGTTACAGATGTAATAACATGGGTCCCAAAGTTTTCAATGAAGCTGGCAGATACATAGATGGAAAAATGTAAGACAACATTACAAACCCAGGAAAAAGAAAAAAGAAATTCCATCAATTATAAACAGCACAATATTTCCTACCTAGCCAAGGCTGGTGGATCCCATAACGTTGGTATTGCTCTTCTAGCATTTTGTTGCAATACCATGGAAGATTTCCGGAGTTCAAGCTTTGCAAGAGGAATGAAGAATCCATCTATGGAAAGGGTCTTTGTAGTAGCAGCATCTATGTGCTTAGACCCAGTATAGCTAAATGCGGCATTGAAGCTTCCAAGAGGAGAATGTCCAAATAAATTTGCCCTTCTATTAAAATACTCCACCATCTGCAATCACTTACACTTTACATGCATTAGAAGATTAGAGCCACCATAAGTGCCATCGACCCCCAGATCCATGAAGATAAGCACATACAAAATTACATATTTAACTCATGTACATAGTAGATCCACATTCAGTCCCCTATAAAGGAAGGAAATGCCAAAGCAAATGGTGTAGACTGGCAGAAAAACTAATAATGTAGTTTGAAAACAACTCGGAATACATTCACTGATTTCTATTCCTGTCATTGTCTTCATGATTTCTTCCATTAAAGTTTGCAGATATGATAGACAAGAGGATTGCGACAACTAGCAACCTATGGCAATTAAAATTGAAAAAGGTTGTTCTATGAAACAAACTAGGTGCCTACATGCTGAGACATCATGAAGATGCTTCTGATTTCCAAAACAATGAAATAAATGTTTGAAACCTAGTGATGCTTCAAAGTCTCACAGACAATTGCTTAATGCAGGACCATATCATTGACATCTAACATAGAGATTCTCCAAGTGGAGAAAACATAGGATAAGGCGGCTTTCGTCAGATTACAGGGGAACACATAACTCAAATTAAACTGAGGCAAATAGAGGCATAGATATCCTAGAACAAGTTCTGAACAATCATATTAATCAAAAGAAGAGCATTTTCCGTTTTTTCATTTTCTCTTGATGACTTGAAGACAGAAATCTAATGAAGCATATATACTTGAAAAGCAAAACACGTGCAACCAATTGGATCATAGCAAGGCCATTTAATCATAGATTGATGCTGCAGAACAGGTTTGAGTGAAAGAAAAGAAAAGAGGATTATCCACGCAGAATCTGGTAGTTTCACCATTGAGCTCTGTTCTAATAGAGAAGTAAGCGTATAAGCAATAGTGAAGGTTATTCAATAATTATTGTGGAGTCAAATGAAAAGTAAGAGCAGAAGGCGACATTCGAGATATGGGGGCGCAAGGCAAAAGTCAGACGGTTACCTGAAATACAAAAATAATACAACTACTGTAGTACTCTCCTCGATAGGAGCAGCGAAGGGGAGTAAGAATTGGAAAATAGAGAAGCATGATGATTGA